TGACTTGTTTGTAATGTCATATATTGTAAGAATTAAATGCTTGAAAGTAAATGGTCAAAAAATGTCTTGATAACAAATTGTGACATTTTCCCCAAGAAGGGGAAAAAAGCAAAAAGAAAATGACACTGTCCTGGTATCATTGCTATGCTGATATACATTAATCCGAGCACTGAAAAATGTCTTCACTAATGACAACACACAGTGCAATCGTGTCCTGTTACCTTTAATGGCTTGCTATAAACTATAAAAATATCCTACACTTTCTGAAAATGTGGAATGGTTTAATACTACATTCTGAGGTGGTGCTAATTAAGTCCGAAATGATTCTCTTTAATCTGCTAAGTGGCTCCAATTTGCATAAGGGTTTTACCTATTTTATATGCAGTTCCAGTTATCCCAAAATTATCTTTATAGACCCTATTTTTTTCAGCTGGGTTATCTCTAAATCCAGCCTGATCATATCTCTTATAGTGACATCTGTAGCTGCACAGCCACCTGCTCCTCTACATGCTCATGTTCCAACTCTCAAGTAGATGACTGTAAAGGATGAAACCAGAGGCTCATGAGTGTATACTTTAGATAGCCATTTACAAGGGAGCTGTAGCATTCTAGAATTTTTATTTTTACAAAAGACAGTTTCAGTCCAATTCATTGGATGAGATAGTTTTTTTTTTTTTTTTTTTTTTTGTCTTCACTGGGTTGTATTGGCCTGTGTTCTGTACAGGAAGCAATGTGGGGAGAACAAACATCAGTTTGAATTGACAGCAGTGTGAATTTATGACGTAGCAAACACAGAACAGAGATACTGTAATGAATAAGTTTGCAGGCAGGATTTCCTGAAGTTGGTAAGAAGCTTGGATTATTTTTTTTTTTGCTCTTGAAGTGCAAAGTGTTTTAGGATGGAAACCTGTCAATAAGCTAATGATTAATTCTAAAATGTAAAGAGGTTGCACTGCAGAGTAGTTATAAGAAAACAGGAAACAAAATAATAGGAATCCTGAGAATATAGGAGGATCTTATTCTGGGATGAACAGCTGTTTTTCATAGAATCACTGAAGTGGGAAAAGACCGCTAAAGGCTCCCATGTCCAACTCCCACCCACCCCTTCCATGCCCACTAATCATGTCCCTCAGTGTCACATCTTCATGGTTTTTGAACGCTTCCAGGGACAGCAGCTCTATTACCTCCCTGGGCAGCCTGTGCCACTGATACTACTTTTACTTCAGTAGGCAGGACTAAGTCTTCCTAGCTGTGCTGCGATGTGTGTGGGTATGGGCAGGGCCTTGTGCAGAATATTTCTAAAAGTCTGTAAGCTGAAAGCTAGTTGAGAAAACAGCAGGCTTTGTAGAAGTTCACATCCAGCAGTGGTAATGTGCAGTAGAGATGGAACTGTATGTACCCAGTCTAGGAGGTGGTAGAAGTTGAAAGAAAGGCGTCGGAATTAGTACTTGCAATGTGCAAGCATATTGTGTGAAGCAATGTTTTCTCTGCTGTCTCACCTGTTATTGCTATACTCCTGTATGATTTTTGTGCATTTCTAGTCATAATGCTTGTGTTTGACAAGTATATGCAAAATGTACATTTTTGCTACTTCCTAGGACATGCAAGCTGGATCATACATGCATTAGCCTAGCTAACAAAAAGATTCTTTGTTGTTACAGTCTCATAGTATTACTGTTTAAGATGCTTTAATGTAATTTTTCAAAAAAAAATCATTATATTTATATGCATTATTCTTTGTGGGTGCAAAGAAATGTGTAGTGTCAGTAAAAAGGAAGAGTGCCCCTGAGTATGTTCTGAGCGTATTCCCTTTGCTCATTCAGAAGCCATTAATAATAGAAATGTCAGTAGAAGAACAAGAACGTTTGTTATAAATCCAAACCCCTCAAAGCTATCTTTACTGCAAATTACTTGTACTCAAATGGGAGGAAAAAAAAAAAGCTTTGGAAAAAATGATGTTACAAGATATGTTTTTTTTTATGGTAAAAGCCATATCAGCCATTGTAGTTAGTAGATAAATGTGGAAGAATGCACGAGTGAATGCAATCAATTTGTTCCATATGTTTACCCAATTTTTTCCTATATTAATAATGTCATATGTAAAGAAAACTATAGAATGAAAAGACCTAAAATAGCTGAGCTTTAATGACCTCAGCTAGCCGGTATAACCAGAATGCAGAGATCTAGAAAGAAAATTCAATGTAATTTTACACAAGTGCTTTTAAGAAATAACTGAAGCCATGAACTTACACCTACAGCTCTTTGTTTAATTAATGCTTTGAAAAGAAAAATCTCATTAATAGTTGAAATGAAGAGGAGGGGGAAAGAAGTTAATGCTGACATTTCAATAAATAATGAATTTTAGAAGTGAAGAATAAAGGAGTTTTAAAAGCTGGAGTCTAGACTCAAAGTAATGTTTAGAAAAAGAAAACACAAAATATTTTGAAAATTGGATTGGAGTAGGGATGAATCACACCAGCCATTTTTCGTCTTTCCTTCTATAAATAGAATGATCCCCCCCACCCCATGAGACCCTGCTATACTGCATTCCCTGCCTGTACATACAGATTTGCTGCTTCTACTGAGATACAACACTTCCACATAAGTAGACTGAATAATACAAGCGCATATAGGAGCCACCTGATGTCTGCCATAAATCAGTCAGTGGTCCTTATGTGTGTGGAGTCCAACGTTTCCAATTAAATTAAAAATGGCATAGAATAATAACTTCAGTGGTAATAAATAATGGAATGTATTGGCATACTGTATTAAGTTTTAACTATTACATCACTGATGAAAAAGAGCATTAAAACTATTAAAAATTTCCAGGATAATGAAGTCAGAGTGAACTGAACTGAAAGTACTCAAGTGCAGTGTAACTTCCAGGTGAAAAATCAATTGCTGGAAGAAAAGAAAGAAGTTTCACTTCTGAAGAATCACAGAAACACCGAGGTTGGAAAAGACCTGCAATATCATCCAGTCCAACCATCCACTTATCACCAGTAGTTCTCATTAAACCTTATCCCTCAATACAAAATTCAAATTTTCCTTGAACACCTGCAGGCTTGGTGACTCCACCACCTCCCTGGGCAGCCCATTCCAGTGCCTGACCACTCTCTCAGAGAAGTAGTATTTCCTAATGTCCAGCCTAAATCTCCCCTCGTGCAGCTGGAAGCCATTCCCTCTAGTCTTAAAGAAAGTGAGCCCTGAAATGTACCTGCTTGGAGATCCCCCCGGCATCCTTGGGATCATGTCTCCCATAAATTCCTGAGGGTCTAAGGCTATGCAGGAGGACACTGACTGTATGAGGACTATGTAGGAATGAAGGCGGGGTAGCTCAGGCTTGAGTGCTGGAAGTTACTACTAACAGAGTAATATTCCATTTCAAATGTCACCATGCACAGAACCTTTTGCCCTGGAGGCCATGTATTCCACTAGAGCCTATTCCAACCCAAGACCTGATGTCAGGAACAGGGCTGAAAGGGAGAAGTTCATTATCTTTCTAATGAACTCTTCAAATATCCTTTGCTTACAAACCACTGATTTGATACATTCCTCACAAAGAAAATTAAAAATAATTCATGGTCTTTCTTAGCAGCTGACCAGTTCTGTCTCTGAATCATGCTTGAGTGCTGTTAAACTTGTTTGTGTCTTTTTTTATGGAGCTCAATGCTGACTTGAAAGAATTGTTGTCATGAGGAAAATGGAAGAGCAGTGCCAGATGTCATGTAGTATTGACAAAAAAACCCTTGTCTTGGCTCACTGCACACATCCTATGTTCTTCCCTGGGTTTTTTTTTTTTTTTTTTTTTTTTTTTGTGGCATTATTCTAACTCAGTGTAAGCTTTAAATTATCCTTCTTTAATTTTATTTTTGCCTGGTTGTACCAGTACTGTATTTATGAAGAGGCACTTCATTTAATAGCACAAGGTATCTTTATGTCCTTCTACCTTAAATGCCTTTTTATGTGAATCTATGAATGAGAGCTACTATTCTTTCACTGCCGTTTGTTATTGAGATTGCTTTCTCTTTTTACTTGAAACTTTTCTTGGGAAGCTATTTACCTTTCACTCTCTGGTTGTTTTGATTTGGATCACTTCTTCTCTTGGCTGAGCTTTCTCTTCACCTTTTATTATCATTAGGTGCTCTAGATGCTTTTCCGATTTGTAGCCTATCACTTCATTGTATTTTCTTTCAGCATCATGTTCACATTGAACAATGCATTTAGTCTTTACCTCTACAAAACAGAGAAATATAAAAGCATTAAAAAAAGATCATGCATCCTGTTCTTTTTTTTCTATTTAAATGCGGAAATGAAATCCTCAGCTCCACTGGCTGATTTCTTCTTCTCTGATTTCTTCTTCCTTATCAAAGTGCACTGGCAAGTAATACCTTACATGACAGTCAGCCTCTGGAGACCAAGAGCACAATGCAAGCCATGTTTCATATATTAGTACCAGTCCTCTTAATCCCTTGCTTATATCAACCTTTTAAAGAAAATTAATTTCACATGATTATGCTAATATTTTCTTAATGAATTAGGAAAGAAACCTGTGCGGAACTTTAATGGATCATTTTAACTATCCCTGCTGAGAGATTCCAGGATCATTCTTTTTTGCAAAAGTATATGAATATTAATATGCACCCTGGTAATTGGAACAAAGTTAATTACTGTAATTCTCCTATAGTTTTAAAAAAATGCAATATGCAGTAATAGCTAGTTATTAAGATAGGAATTTGAAGGTAAAATACTATTAATTGCTTCATAAGAAGTGAGGTAAAGCGCATCTAGGAAACAATTTTAATGGAATAACCAGGTGTTTTAATGAAATATAATTTGGCTACTAATTTTCATGCTCTGAAATCTGTCACTTCATGCTTCTGATACTTGCAGTATTGTGTTATGTATTTTGGAGTTTGATACTATAATATATTAAATGCACTATTATAGGTAGTAGTTTATTGTATGTTAATATCTGTCCTGATCTTTCTGTTTGATAGGGTTTCTCGATAGACGGAGGCTTTCATCACCATCTGTCTCCTCCTGACTGCACCACTGAACTCCAGGCCATCTTTGGCACAGCAGGAAGAGTTGTAAAGTCAGGTAAGTTCCCCCAAGTTTTGTAAACTCGTTGACTTTTTAAAATGAGTGCTCCTTGGACAGTGATGCTGTTGTCAGGGTCCAATTGTGCAGTAGTGGCTCTCACTCTCCAGCCTGGTTTGTGTTTGCTCTATTGGCAAATGGGGCCTCTTGGTGGGATGAGAGGAGGAGTGTTGAGGGACACGTGGGCTGGGGAAGGGGAAACGCAGTACTGCTACTATGGCTGTGGATGTGTGGTTTGATGTTGTAGGGTAACGTTGCAGTGAGGAATGCAAACGTGTGAGAAACTGGATTTTCATGATTTCTGCTGGTATTGAAGTTATCGTTCGTGATGTGAAGATGTCCTTCTATGAAGGAACCTCATAGTATTGTTTATGAAATCTAATTCTCTACCTTCATAGTTCCTGTACAATTTGTGAAAATTATTCATGACTAGCTTTTACTTTTATGGGCTCCCCAGACTGCCTGCAATCATGTGCAAGAAATGCTTCCAGACGTCTCAGTGCCTTTAAAAGCATTTATATGGATGGTAAAATGATTTTTCTCATCTACTATGTGACCTCTGAAGTGCAAAATTTATCAGTGGGCCTATTCTGAGTCAGACTTAATTTGCTTCCCCTTTTCCCTACCTATTCTAGCTCCTTCAGATAAATTTTCAAAAATAGCCTGGCATATGTTAAAGTCTGATCTAATGGATCAGGTTCCTGCTGGTTCAGACTCTCTGTATAACTTAGAAGCAGAAGAAAATATCTGTATCATTATATTTTGAGAGTCACTGCATATTCCTCCAAAATACTCTGTCAGTGATGTTTGCTGTTGGAAGGATGTTGGTAAATGTGTTTGTACTGCTGTGGATGCTGAGATGTTAGTGGTCCTGTGGGATAGAGGAATAAGGCTGTTGCAAAGCAGGTAGTGACTTGAATGGAGTTTTAATGTGTTTAGGAAATGTGTAAATGAATCAATTCCAGAAATTGATTGATCAACCTAATTAAAATATCAAAAGTTGAACAGAATTAGGTTATATTCTACGTGACATAACACTCACTTGCCTGTAACATAATCTAAGTGTTGATTTTGGTATGATGAGTTTGTCTTTGAAGAAATCTGGATAAGTTTGGGAGATGAAGAAAAGTCTTGATTTCACTGCACCTTGTGCCTCTTCATGTGTGTGAGGAGTGGGATGTTTTCTGTGGGAGGAAATAATTTTGTGTGCAATCATGGGCTATAATAGATATATCCTACTCAGATGTATGATCTCCTCTCCATTTTGGCTGGAATAGATGCTTGAGTTCTCAGTTTTAGTTGCTACCCTTACTCAAGTCTGAAGAAGGCACTCTGGAAAGCTAAACTTCATGAACAGCTAATTGCTGAAGATAACAGGATTCTCTACAACTTTGAAATCTGTTGAAGTGAGATACATGAAATGTGATTTCCTGATTTAGCAAATGTTAGACAGAATTGAGATGTTGAGAAAAATCAAATTGACTTCACCATGAGACTTGAAACATTAAAACATTTTGAGGATTCTAAAAAGAGATGAGGTGTCCTTTTTAGACTACCAGTTAATCATCCAAGAGGAAGGAAAGTAATTTAATGTTGCAAATTACATATGTATCACATACTTGGGTATTGAAAACAAAGGTTAGAACTAGCACAAGACAGAAATAGCAAGTAGTCATTTTAATTTCAAGGTGTCTTTGTCATAGCTCCTATTCAGTAATTTTGGGAGCTAATTTCTGTGATAGTTGACATGGAAATTTTGCAATGTGTGGATTAACTGAAATGCAGTATTAAGCTCAAATACTGCAGCATGATCTGAAATGGTTAAAAAAAAAACAAAAAAAACAGCAAAAAAAAAAAACCACAGAAAACCTTCAGTTCTGAACTGTGGATTTTAGTTTGGGTATTCAAGTACATAGTTTAGAACTTGCATATCTAGACATTAAAATAAATAGCTTTTAAGTTAGATGATGTTGAGTCTAACAGCAGAAGCAGTACGATGTAACTCCTAAAGCTTACCATCAGAGCAAGAATGTACAACTTTGAAATATTCTCAAGTAACTTTGCAATTCATTTAATTACTCACGTGAAAAATTGTCAATACATGGACTAATAAATCCACTGGAGATTTCTGTAATTTGTTCACAGGTAATTAGCAGACAGAAAGAGTTGAAATCCCTTTGGTGCGGTTTTCATTAGAAATGACTCATCCAGTCATCCAGTGGGGACAAATAAATAATACAAACAACACCGGAATGTTCTGAGATACATGCAAGGAATGAGGTAAAGATTCAGTGAGTGGAAACGTGTTCTGAAACCTGGTACAAGGTGAACAGCAACAGAAGTGAGACCACAGAGCCCATGCTTGACTTCCAGCCAACATCAATTTTGCAGCTGGGCCAAGTCTTCACTGACGTTGCAATATGCTTATCACCTAATCATGGCTGCTGACAAAGAAACTGGGTGTTTTCACCCCTTTTAAATTAATTTCAAAATAATCTTGGAGATGAACGCTGTTGGTATATACTCAAGAGTTACTCAGGTTTTGCTGCAACAGCTGCTGAGCAAAGCCCTGTGTGTTCAAGCAGTGACCTTACTGAAGTGGCTTCTAGTTGAGTCATTTCTGCAACTCTGTTTGTTCCCTTGAATGGAAGAAGTCAATGATAATATGTTTTAGGATGTATGCTCTGTGGGCACAGAATAGCACCTCATAAAAAACTGTTTGAATTTTTGCTCTGGGAATTATATTGAAGAAAACAGAAACTGTCTTTTTCCTGGCAAGATGATTTCACAGAATTTTGAGTGCATTTTCCCACTGGGGCTAGGATTTCTGATGATGATGATGTGATTTCAAATGCATCGAGCAAGTGCTATGTTGGGTGCTTAATTTGTAGTGCATGCCAATGTTTAAATGAGTTCCTTTGGGATGCCCAACTCTGTAGGACAATATGTAAGAGCTTACAGCTTTTTTCATCAGCTATTGTTTGTTTATTTGGTAAATTCTACATAGACAATGTAACCACAGGAGAATATCTTTATTAAAACAAGCTGCTAGGTAAATAAGGCTTCCAGTTAAAATAAAAACCATGTTCATTATTAAACACATTGGGAAGGCTGAAGGATACAAATTTTGCAGCTGTCTGTAAATGTGTTCTGTATAGTTCTAATTTAGCACCAGAAATTCCCTTGCATAAGCAGATAAACTATGCAGTTTGACAATAATGGAGCGGACTTTTCAGATTCAGATCCCAAATTTGAATTTTGCTTTTAAAACTAGTTTCTGAGATGGGTCATGTGGCTAAAACTTGGGATTTTGTGCATTGTGTCCACATGGTATGGGAGTGATGTCCAGTTGGATGATGCTAGTGAGTGGGGAAAGGATGAATGTGGGAAGAGTATGCTTTTTGTAGGGACTACTTAAGAAAATACTATGTTCTCTTCCTCAACCCAGGACATCTGCTGTGTTTGCATCTTAGGTGGGTTGGTTGATTCATACCTTTCTTGTGGATCATGAAGTGGGGAGGATGTGCGTCCTTTCCCCTCTATTTAATCCTTGCATTAAAAGTTCAAAATACTTTAGCTTAGTTTGCTTAGATACCAAAGCAGCACAAAACTTCTATTGTTATGGACAGATGTGTATCCCAGTACAGTGTTACATTCTCTCACCAGTTACTGAGGGTCAGAAAGGAAGAACTGTTATCTATTCCATTTCACCTCGTGTCTGTTACTTACAGCATGTCACATAGGAGTCAATTAGTTTTCTGGAGTGGTAATCCTTCACTCTGGAGAAGATAATGTGTGCAAACAAGAATTCAACATTTTTCAGGGCTGTAGCTTTCAATAACTGACTCCCCCCCCCTCCCTCATTACTCATACCAAGCATTGTATTCTGTGATTGTTTGTCCCCCTGTGAATTCAAACGTTGATGCCAGGGTGAAGCATTCTACTTTTCCTTTGTATCAGAAGGAGGCAATACAGTGTTGAGTAATACAAGGTTGTTTCATTTTAATATCAGTCCTCAAGCATAATTGTTAGTAACTTGCCTGGATTTTAGACTAGAAAGCATAAAAAGCATTTGCCAGGCATCTAAAATTGAAGTCCCTTGATAGAAAGAACGTCTCCTGCATGTTGTAGGCTAAATTCTGAAGGAGAAGCTTGTTCTGTTCTCTAGCCTTGTACTGTGTCAGTGCTTCTAATCAGGTTGCTCCTGAAAACGCTGCTATGAATTAATCCCAGACACTCCACTCTGTGGTAATCAATAACTGTAAAACAATTAATGATGTCTTCAACATATACTTCCACCTCTATTGCTCATACTACCCTTAAGCAGGCTATAAAACAGGCTTTTAACATTTCAGTGATGCTATGAACCATCCCATATTGGCTTCACTAATTACATGAAACTTTTTCCCACCAGTTACTTCATGATATTTCTTTCTTAGTTTTGCAGTTTTCCTGTCATTGACACAGTGGTAATTGAAGTTTTTGTCTTTCCTATCTACTTTACTTAGCTGAACTCACTCATGACATCTTGGACTTCACTGGCTTCATTTGTCGTCTTATTGCTGCAATTTGTACTGCTAGATTAAAATCTCCCTTGTTGCTCCAGAAAGTCCACAGTGCAGATTATCCTCTCTTCTGGTTGGCAATATTTCTTGGGGCTTTTTCTTCATCTAAAAATTGGATTGGTATTGCGTAGCCAGACATTCTAGCTTTTAATCTCAGAAATTACACATGAGGATAAGGCGTATTTCCAGCACTGCTGCCTTTTGCTAAGAAGAGATGTTGAGGAAAATAATTGCAAACGTGCTGTGCTGCTAATTCTTCTGCTAGTTGAACACTTTTTACTTATAGCTATGAGCTTTATTAATGACCTGATTCTTTAGAGACTTGCTTGGGTAATGTCCTGCAGGCTTTCTCCTGTCCACTGTTGCCAATTAAGGTTTGAAAAATGACTTCATCTTCCCACTTCAGTGCAACTACATGCTGTTTATAGAGAAAGTGAAAGCTTCTGGTCCAGTTTCTGCTCTTTCCAGGTCTGCTTTTAGTTTGTGCACCCAGCAGCTGGCATTTCATGAACACCCCAGAATCAATTCAATTCTGGTTTGGGGCAGACAGAGAAAAAGGAGAATAATGCTAGTTCACAGTGTCCAGTGTGGACTGATTGTGTTCCTTGCACAGTATTACAGCTCCTCTGGCAATACTAGCCCACATGTTTTATCTTGCAGGCTAATATAAACTGCCCCTAAGTGCTGCTCAAGTTCATTCAAGCTAATAAATATACAGGGCTTTGTACAAATATTAGCCTATATTGTGTACACAAGTAATAATTTAAAATGAGTATTTATTTTCCCTGTGAGTGCACTCTGTCATGGGTCAGCAAGCCTAATTTCCCTTCATAGTTGTAATTTTAGTTACTGACTCTTTTTATTAAAGAATAACAGAATTTTTGATGGCACAAGTTATTTTCATAAATAAGCAGTAATGGAGAGGCACTGGAAATGCAAGATAAAGAACACAGTGCCTTAAAAACAGTATAAGCTATGAGCAGCACTAAATAAATAGTATGATGTTATAAAGGTTCAATTTAGAATATAAGTATCATGCCTTTTACACGCATGGCATACAAGTTCTTCAGAATGTTCTACTGGATGTACAGAAGTATGCCAAGTCTTTTGGGAAAGCTGATGTTGATCAACTCATAGTCTGATTACCTGTAGGCTTTGAGTGACGTGATTAAAGAAGTATATTCTAGTTTACAATGAAAATGATCTTACTGAGCCATGTCATTAATTTTTTTTTTTAGTGATTTGAGTTAGCTGTCCTCATCCAGAAGTGGTCTTCTGAGGCAAACCTAGCTCTGCTGAACTGGGTGCCCACTGGGCACAACCACCTGATATTTCTTCAATTGTAAACCAGGAGGACAAAGAGGGGCAGAAATGACCTCGCCATGTCCTGATAAATCTTTACTTGCTCAAGAATGATAGCTAATCAGTCAACGTGAAGATTTATTTTGCTGCGTGCTGAGATTAGCAATGAGATTTTTCATCATTTGCTGGATGTTTGGTGTACTGCAGTAAATAGGTTAATGGAAAAGAAAAGGAAAACCTATAGCGCTTGCAGTTGCAGAGCTTGGCTACTTTGTCTATGTCAAGCTGATAAGGAAATTCAGCTTGTCTTGAATAGTTGAAACAGGGTTGTTCAGCTTTCTAGAAACCACCTATTAATAAAAGTTGGGAAGTGAGAATTTCAACACTGATTTTTTTCAGTAATGAGAAATTCTATAAGGAGATGTTGTTTTATTATAAAAATGAAGTTTTAATCTTCTCATATTTTATGTACCTCAGATTTTCTGCTTCTTTCAAAATAAAACATGTATTTTATTTTGGTTTATTGTGAAGTAGGATATTATTTTTGAGTGTAAGGGTAATGAAAAGGAAAAGGCAATGAAAAGAAAATTGTTTGAAACAGATCTGCTGTCCATACAGATTTACTGAAAATAGGTTTTGGGAAATGAAAGAATTCTTGGACGGGGAAGGGAAAGTGTAAAACAAATATAAAGCAAATACACATATAAAACAGCTATTGAGGAGGGGAAAAAAAACCTAAAAACCTGAAGGTTAAATATTAAGGAACAAAGACTTCTAATAAATGTAAGAGGAATTTTGCTCTTACAACCTGTCTAATTAAACTATCAAGAGGAAGCCTACTCGAGTGTGTAATTGTTTGTAGGGATAGCTCCTAATCTATAGCATGCTGCATTTTGTCAGCATATTGTAGAAACGCATAGTGATATAAACACACATTAATCCTGTAATTAAAATTGCAGCAGGCATAATGTGCTTTCATTAGAAAGAACATTAGCTGGTTTCAGCAATGATTTCATAGAACATTCGTGTTCTCTTAATTTAGTTAACAAATGTCTTCAAGTCTTGTTTAAAAAAAAAAAAAAAGGAAACTGTCTTTAACACTGTACCTAATTTAGAAGACTATGGCATCTATTTGTTACAGTAATTAATATTTAATATTATTTGACCTCTGATTAGCCTGTTTCTTATTTTAATCAAGACCTATCAAACTTTCAAATTTCTATCGATCAAATGATCAAGTAACTGATTACAGATTATGCAATTCACCTTTGAAATTTGCCTGATAAATATGGGCTGAATTCAGAGTATTTGTAATTTAGAGCTGTGAGTCTTATTAATTATCATCA